AGCTCATGGTCATGGACAACCAAAGCCTTGGGCCCTGCAAACCTCCCCACAGAGGGGGAACCTCCCAGCACCCGTCGTAGGGACACCCCAGGGCTACAGGGTGCTGGGGTACAGAGGCACCCCTGGAAGCCAAAGGCTTCAGGAGGTGGATTTGGCCATGGCCACGGGCACGTGACAACCCTGGCTTAGCTCCCAACCCAGGGAAACACATCCCTGACTGCGTCCAGCCAGCTGGCAGCTGACAGTGGCTTTCCTCTTCCTAATAGGAAGGTGAAGAACAAACAAGCCCCGTCCTTTCCCCAAAATGTCTCCAGGAACCTGCAGCCCCATTGCACGCCCTGGGAGCACGGCCGCAGCAGCCTCCTCCAGCCCCAAGGTGCACCCGGAACCCCGACACCTCCATAGGGATGGGGACATCCCCAGGGGCACCCCCAGTGGCGCAGAGGGTGTGAGGAGCAGGCAGTGTGTCCCATGGCACCCACGGGCTGTTGGCAGCTGCCACGATGCTCTGACCCCTCTTCCTCCCCAGGGACCACCTGAGGCACCGCTCCTGTGCCAAAAATAAATAAATCAAAGTCACTATTTTACAGTTTATTGCCCCAGTTCATCAGAAACGAGGCGGCTCGAAGCCGGGGGAGCGCACGGGTCGGGGTTCGGGGACCCCACGCACGGAGCGATTTCCCCATCTCGAAACCAGGGAGGCCAAGCCCAGCTGCTGGGGGGGATTAAAAGGGTTTGGGGTGCTCCCTGCCCTCCAAAACACAGCTGCAGCAGGAGGGGTTCCTCTGGGCTGTGCATCCCGGGCACCATGCTGGCATCCCCATCCCGATGCATCCCGATCGTTTGGGGCTGGTAGCAGCATGGGCAGGTTGCCAGGAGCTGCTTTGTGCCCGCTCCCATCTCCAGCCACCCCTGAGCGGGTTCTATAGAGAGCGGGGGATGAAGCACCTTTAAGCAGAGCCCATTGCTGACATTTCCCACCTTCTGCAAACCGCAGAGCAGGCAGGCGGAAAGGGAACATCTGCCCACCTGAGCCGTGCCTGGCAACGCGGCACAGGCTTCGCACGGGCCGCCTCGACGCCGGCAGCAGGAAAACCTCGTCCCCAACATGAGGACGTTTCAAGTGCGTGGGCTGCTCCGCGTGCCCTGGGATCCAGGGTGCCAGGAAGCCGCCCTTGCAGGGCTGGACCATCGCTTGATCCAGGGATTAAAAACATAAGGC